AGCGGGGAGCAGGTGGGACGGCGAAAAGGGGTGTCGCTTGAGGGCGGCTCTCTGCAGCGGGGCGGCTTGGCCGCGTTGGAGAGCGGGGCGGCTCAACACGCTGCGCCGGTTACACGGCCTCGGTGTAGTTTTTGTGCAAGACAAGATACACCGGTGTGTCTGGTCACCTGCGCTTAACGTAGCCAAGAGGTGGCAAAGCTGTGGGGTTTCTCTGAAGCTGGTTTTAGCCTGGCTGATGTCTGTACTCGGAGGTTTCGTTTGGGAGAATCTGGGGGTTTTTGTCTTTTCAAATACCTTTAAAGGATTTCTGTTTTGCAGATAGAAAGCTTAGACAAGAGTCTAGAAGATTTGCTGACCAGAGTGGATGAATTTGTGGGAATGCTGGACATGGTATGTATAACTTGAATATAGTTGCATTTTTGAAGTCAGAATACAGTTTAATATGTACTCGGTCTCATTTAAAAGCACGAGATGGGAAGCAGCCTTCGGCCTAGGCAGACAGGTTCTGGTACGAAAACACACTTGATAATTAGATAACTCACGGATGAAAACTACTGAACTTTCATGTCAGAGCAAAATATGCCCATATAGCTCTATAACTGCATATTTACATAATTCCGTTTGTATATTTGTCTGTGTACATATGTGGAATCCAGTTTTGAATGGCATAATGATAGATGCTGAAAAGGACAATACAATATTCTGCTTCTCCTTTAAAATGCATAAAGATATCCTCTCTGGGTTTTGTCATCAAAGTATCTAATCAGAGTTGCCAAACCTCCAAAACTAGATTTGTCTTTAGGGGGACCCTTTCTTACCCTTTCATCAGAAAGGCAGCTTTGTTTGCATTTTCACATGGGAGGAGACAGGGAAACTGAACGGAAAGTTTCTATAAGCTGACACTGGTATACAGGCTGTCTTTTAAAGCATAGCACGTGTGTTTCTCCTGCGCTACTCTAAGGAGAACTTTAACCAATTAAAAAAAAAAAGATTCTGTGGCCTGGCTTTTTTTTTTTTTAAGCAAAGTTGAGGAAATGCACAGGTAGTAAAACATAAGTAAAAATTTTAGTTTAATATATTTGATTCTTTAGTGTGTCTTGGGAAATGTTCCATCTCTTAGTCCTAATAAGGCTGAAGCAGCCTATTTTTAATATAATTACAAAGGTAAATATTTGCCTATGCAAAATAAAGTTTGTTCAAAGGCACTTACTAAACTGTACAAAGAAGCTAGCTTATTAGTTTTAATCTAGTTTTCTTATACTAATACTAATCTAGTATTTTTAGACTATGAGTTTTAATCTGTTAATTGCTAATGGTTCTAGTTTCTGGAATAAAATCTACTACTTAACATTTTGACTTCTGTATTATTTCCTCGAATCATTTTAGATTCGAAGTGATTCCTCTCAAGTTGTCAATGAAAGTATACCTCAAATTTACACAAAAGCTACAGAAATGAGACAGATATACAGGAAGATTGACAAACTAGAGGTATGTATTTGATATTCCATTTCTCAATAGGGGAAAGAATCAATAATATGCTGTAATTGTGTGCCTTGTGCACGTGCGTGCACGTGGAGTGGGTTCAGGTCCGTTTTGCTCCCCATGTCCAATCTGGGTTCAATACTTCAGGGTTAATGAAGAGAACCCAATTTATTAAGAATTTCTGGAGACTACGGGCATTCTATAACAAAATGCCTCTTTAAAAAAAAAAATCATATTTTTTTTTATTTAGTGCTTGAAGCAAGGCAGCCATCTTTCTTTTTTTGGAAAGTAATAGTACCACTTTTTCTTTTTTTTTCTTTTTTTTTTTATAGTATCTTTCAAAGTTACTGTCTTGGGAGCCATTTGGAGACTAGTAGAATGAGAGGTCTGTTGATCCCTGGTAAAGCTTCAAAACTGATTCAGATCCTTGGTGCCACTTTTAGTAGAAAGGCAGATAGGAGTCTAAATTCTAAGAAGTCTAAATTAGTTATTTGAAAGGCAAATAGGAAAAAGAAGACTGATTGTTTTATTAGATTTAACCTGTTTTTGCAGCCTTTTAAGTATCTCAAGTTATTTTTAGCAATAAAATGGACTTGTAGGTGGAAGGGAAATAGATCATGTTGTTGAGGAGTTTTTGACTCCTCATTTAATTAATGGAACTTTCACCACTGTTGTGCAATACATAATCCTGTTTTAATTTGTTAGTGAAAAAGTTGGATTTCTTTTGTTTTTTTTCACACTAGGCTTTTGTGAAGATGGTTGGAAATAGCGTAGCTGGACTGGAAGAACGGGTCATAAAGGCAGAAACAGACCTTGGAGCTTTTCCGAGCACATTCAAGAAAATCTTGCACACAATCAGCATACCATCCTTCCTTAATGTAAGTAAGCTTTTATTATCATGTGACCAGCTTAGTTGCTCTGCTTACCAGAGTGGGTGATTACAATAATAGTAAGTTTGTTGCACATATATCTGAATTTAACTGTAAAACTTTCATATACTGTATTAGGATTTTTGCAAAGTTCTCGGACTTAATTAAAAAAAACAAACCCAAACTTAAAAATCACAAATTCTTACAAGGATTTGTGTAACTTTCCAAAATAAGGCTGAATACATGAAGAAGGGAACGTGAAGGGCACGAACAAGCCCATAATGAACAAGGCATTATATTAAAGCACCCCTGATCTCTGATGGTATGCGAAGCAATTAGAAAGAGCCTGTACAGACAACACTGTTAAAGGATCATACAGCATTAAGAATATCACTGCAGAAATGTTACCGAAAAAGGAGATGAAAACTACACTGCACAATATTTTTAAAATAAAGATTCTGTTTATACTCAGTCCACACAGTTCAGTAATCATGTAAGTACCTTGTTAAACTTTCTAAGGGTGCACATTTCTCTACCTTTTCGTCATTACTACCTGTGGACTGTTTCTCTACAGAAGACTTGAAGTGCTCTCTCTAGTATGTTTCAAAGAGATGCCATACCTAGCCTTAAATGCTGGCACTATGCCCTGATTTTAAAATAACCTTCTGGTTAAAAAAAAAAAAAAAAAAAGAAAAAAAATCTTATGAACCACCTGATGCTTCTTGGCATCACCTGCCAGTACACCGTTTATAAGTACTCCTCCTTGCGTCTCATCAGCTCCCAGTTTCTTTTTTTTATCTTTTCCTATATTCATCCTGTACTAGCTCAGGTTTCTGTATCATAATACTGGTGAGAATGCTGAAATAAAGTAGGTTTGCAGAGGGGGAGAGGAAGATGGCTGGGACTGTTGAAGCATTTGTGTTCCTACATATTGCAAGCACATGTGGCAGCAGAGAAAAATAGTTGTAAAAAGAATATGTATTGTCTTGGTAAGACTCAGTTCAGGAAACCTGTTCTTCACTGCTATTTCCTGTGTAGTCTTTAAGTTAGTTAACTTCTCATTCTGTCATTTTTCTTTGGTGTTGAAGTTTAGAGAGATGTCATTTTTTCTTAAAAAACAACACAAAGCTGCTATTTATGGGCCAATTGCAAAAACAAACAACTTCAGCAGTTGTCTTGAATATTCAACAGTATTTTCCATTTTGTTGCTAAACCACAGAATTAATAATCTTCAATTGAAAAGTTTGAAAGTTCTAATAAAGTGCTTTTTTAGTGTTGCGTGGGAACACTTTGTCAGCTTAGCAGTTTTTCCACAATTAGTAAGGTGTAAGGTCTTTGAAAGTGTCAGCAAGCTGACACTGGCACGTCCAGTGGTTTCTTGGTTTGAGTATGGATAGCAATAAAATCAACCCTCAGAACTTACTGGTATTAACTGATTAACCAAAAGGCAGGTTACTATTCTGCAGTGGTACTGAGTATCGTGTATCTGTTTTCACTAGTAAACACAAGCATATCTGAATGAAAATGCCTACAGAGATTTCTCCTCATGCCTAACATTTAATTAGCTCCCTCGGTACATCAGCCCTTCAGAAGAGAAGGCTATACCAGTATCGTGATTTTTCACGGTAGTTGTAGTTCACGTTTTCCTGCTACAACTGTACTGTAGTCAAGTCCCCTCACTCTCTTCCCATTTAAATGTATCTGTTTCTTTACACAAAGGATATATTTTGTATTTCTTAAGCTGTGTATTTGTAATCTCACTTTCAGATTTTGCCCCAAGTTCTTCCCTTGTGAATACCAGGCAGTGTAAAGTACAGTACTGTAAGACTTCTAATATCACTAAGGATGTAGACTCTCTCAAAAGGTAAAAATGTCTGCTAAGCAGCTGCAAAAACAACTATTCATAAATGTGTACTTAGGCAACTGTGGGTACTGTGCCTGCCTATGAATTTCCTCACGGGATTGCAATTATCTTCTTCTTGCACATACGCAAATACAGTGCCTCTTACATCAGTGTCATGAGTTGCAGAATACCTGTGACCTTAGTTTCCCTTGCTTGCAAGGTGTTTTCTCATAGGGCAGTACAAGATAGGAAATAATTTTTAAAAACAGAACTTTGATTTCGAAGATTGTTTATACGTTTGGCAAAACTTCTGATATAGAGAACACTGATGCACTCTTTATAGATCCAATCTTTGTTTATATTTTTTATTTCATCACCATCTTGAATGGCAAAACAAACTTATTTCAGAGAAATTAATGGTATCGTAAAGTTAAAGACAAATATAATGTCATAAATCAATGCATTCCAAACACCAAGTATACTCATGATACTTGGTATGCTTTTAATTTATTATTGGTGGAGACTCTCAATTTCCTCATCCCAGACAGGCAAAAAAGTATCTGAAGAACTCTGCAGACAAACTGACTGAGAGCTCTGCAAAATAGTTCACCAAAATCTTTTCGTAAGTCCAAAAGAATTTTTAATGAATGAAGTCTTGATTTCGAGCCTTCTATTTAAGACCATATGTTGAAAACGTACACTGGCTCTGTGTTGCAGTGCAGCATTATTTACATGCAGGAGGGCTGACACAACAGTCAGTAGTGGTCCTTGCTGTTGTCCCTTTAAATGAGCCATTTGGTATAGCAAAACAACGTACAGTTAATATTTAAAAGAAACTTGTACACTCTTCCTGAAAAACAGTGTAACAGCTCTTTTCCAGTGCACTACCATATTACTTTAAACACGTATGTCACAGTACATACATTCTAACATGTATTTGATGAAGAAGCTCAGCAGGAGCAGCAACCTTCTCGAAAGAAGCATCTGCTAGGTGTGTTTCCATCTGCAGACTTTTTTAACTAAGTAAATGAGAACACAGGCTAGGGTTAACTCAAAGGAAGCAGCTGAGGAGAACTCAAAGGCCTGAGCAGGACAGGTAAAGGTATATGGCTTTGGAGGGATGAAGGTTACAATGATTATACCATCAGCTGGAAAAGATTACCCGTTTGGCTGCTGCAAAGCTGGCATATCGTACGCTTTCCAGGACTGCGTCTGTTCAGGTGATAGAATGGCAAAAGTCAAAGGCTGCTTTTCTTCACTAACATTAGGAATATGCTAGACCCATCTGAGCTATGATTAAAAATTCGCCTGACTAAGGAGATACGCCTTTAAAACTCTTCTTGTTTTGCATTTTAGCTCTGCAGGCTTTGTTTTAAAACTTGCTTTTTTAAGAAGGCAAAAAATAAATTTATCTAATTTGCAGAAATCGTCTTCCTCACGACAACAACAGACCCTCTATGAACCTCCAGCCCTCTTCAAGACTGAAGACTATTTTCCGTGTCTTCATGAAGCACCTTATTGATGATTTCTGCTTTGGGATTGACGTGAATCAGCCAGAATAGAGACAGCCAAGTGAAAAAAATGCTAACCTCAAAATAGCTGCATTTCTGAGCATTATTGATGGCATATTGCCATTCTGATTCTCATTGTCTTCCTTCAGGCAGTATTTTCAGGTAATCTTTGTTTGTGTACATTATTTCAAAAGTCTTCCTAAAACACAGTATAAATTTTCAGATTATATTGGGGAAGGAACTTAAGACTACTTCTGCATTAGATTTTTTTTTTAAATACAGAAATAATAGGAAACATACTTTATATATAAAATCTTTTAACACATAAATATCTGTGCTGCTGCAAATGTAAATAGCTATACCACAAGGATGTCTTTCCCTCCCCTGTCTGTCCCCTCTCCCCCGCCCCCATACTGATTGAGGTGAAAGAAAAACTATGCTTAAAATCATCTACTCCGGTTTTGGAATCTGGTCCCTGCAGTTTGTACAGAGAAATGCACCACGTTGGGATGTGCAAGTTGCAAGGGGAGGACTTGGGAGATCGGCGAGGAGTCGAGGACACAGCTCGATGCACGTCATCTAGTCCCAGTTCACAAAGCAAGCATCTTGCCCCCGCTGATGATCATCAGGTCACAGTGACCTGAGCTTCTTGTTATTGCAGCATTGTATTGTTTGATGTGTAACCAGGTGGGCATGATACATATATATATATATATATAACCTGCTGTCAAAAAGTATCTAAGCTGAGGGGACGTCCCTGGACTGAGCCTCAATTGGGCGCCTGACCAGACTGTCTGCTTTTCCCTCGCAACCCTCCGTGCAGTTACTGTGGCTCCCCACGCTGATTGCAGTGTGAGTATATTATCAATAAACTAATAGCTACTTAACTCCTGTTGTGGTCTTGCATTTCACCTGACAGTATCAAGCTGCACCATTGTTTCCGAGAACCTTTTTGCATACAGCCTCATATAATATCAAGCGGGTGTTAATCCTAAATTGTTGTATTCCTCTGAACACAATTTTACCACTGCTGTTTTACTGCCAATATAACTCACTACAAATATCCAAAATTCAAATTTCAGAGGAATAAGGAATACGGGAAACAACAACATGCCTGCTGGTTTTGTGTTGCAAGCACGCAAAAAGGTATGCAGTTGTAGAGTAAGGATTATATATTAATAGATAAAGCTTTGAAAACCATACGGTCTTGTCTCCCCACAGCAGCAGGGACCAGGTTCTACACAGTATCTGAAGCAACATCTAGTAAAAATTAAAAAAAAAAAAGTGAAGTCAAAATTAGTAGGCTCCACAAGCAGTTCTAATGTAAAACTTACCTGAATTTTAACATAAAGAGCCTAGAAAAATAACTACAGGTAAACATGCAGAAAGGAACAGACATTTGGCTTTGAAGAAGGGCTCCCCGCTGCATCCCATACTCCTTGCTTTCATAAATATTTCACTATTTAGATGTTCCACTGCAGCAACAGTTGTGTTTCCAAAAGGCGTGGTACCTTTCAGTTTATGCATAAATAATCCTTGAAGGCTTATTACTCCTCAGTGAAATCTAATTAAATGACATACCTATAACTTAGTGTAGCAACATAAGGCTACAGCCAAATACTCTTAAACACACTAATACTGACATCACAAAAATTTTTAAAGTAAATTTAGAACAGCTTTCTAATTAAATGAACCGACTGCTCAAATAACAACTTTTTCCTCTGCTGAACGGAGCTAAAATGCAGTTATTTTTAAACAGATTATATAATTTAAAATATTAATAAAGATCTTAGCAAGCTTATACAGCTGTGTATTTGTCATGCAATATTGTTCATATTAATAAGAAAAAATTCACATATTCTGAAGTGGGCATTTATGTTAAACAGTTGTATGGAAAATGTAAGTTAATCTTCAAAGCACACCACAAACAAAAATCATGCAATTCCTATAACTAGTATAGTTCTATGTTGGAAATGCTCCAAAATATTTTTATTACTGAAAATAATGGCCGGTACGTGGAAGATTTATTAAGGAAATGCTATAAAAGTACAGGCAATAAATAAATTGTGGCTTTTTTTTATACATGATACGGAATAACAAGGTCACAGTTCATCTGTAAACTATAGTCCAGAAAAGTTATAAAATCAAGGCATTCTCATAACACTGACAAGATCCACACGTGCACTCTGTTGTTGAATTTGTGCTACCTTGGCTGTCTCCTTGTTCACGGTCAGTCTCGCCAAGCAGGGATAGCATAAAAAAAATCCCAAGTGTTCACACTCAATAAAGAAAGACTCATAGAACACTCCTTTATTCTGTCTGCTGTTGTTAACCTTGTATTAGTGTAAAACCAGTAATAACTATATTATGAATTAGGCTCAATATTTACTGTTTTTGCCAGCTGCAAATAAAATCTAAATCTCAAATTCCACTGATCCCAATATTTGTACGCCCAGAAAGCTGTAATTGTATCTTTCTCTGTACAATATTTATCTTTCTCCTCTTGTTTGGGTTCCAAGATATGAAGCCAGTAACAGTAGCGCTACATTGCCTGTTTTTAACATGAAGAGCTCTTCAGATAGAACTGATGTAAAGCAAGACATTATGTTCAATGAGCTGAGCTGCTAAAGGTCGGTTATCGAGTGTGTGAAACAAGCTAATGTTTAATATCAACAAAACAGTCTACACACAAATCTTACTTTTCTTCTATGACATGAAGCAAAAATTTTAAAGTTATCCTAGCAGAGATAATGTTAAAAGTTTTTATATTCTCAGGTATGTTTTAGGCGAGTGTCTAATTGAAACTAATGCTGCAGCTTACTAAAAGTTACCTGTTTACTGTAAGATGTATATATATCCTGCTAGTGGACGAGGGAAAGGCTGTGGATGTGGTCTGCCTGGACTTCAGTAAGGCCTTTGACACCGTCTCCCACAGCATTCTCCTGGAGAAGCTGGCGGCTCACGGCTTAGACAGGTGGACTCTGCGCTGGGTCAAAAACTGGCTGGATGGCCGGGCCCAG